AAGAAACCTGGATTTAACCTGGATTGAACTTGGGTTTGAATCTGGGTAAACCTGGGTTCGAATCTGGATTCAAACCCGGAAGTTTAAATCCAGGTTATAATCCAGGTTAAATCCAGGTTTGAAACCCAGGTTCTAACCCGTTTGGAATCCAAGTTTAAAGCACCCAGGTTTTTCCAGGTAAAAAACCCAGGTTCAACCCAGGTTAGCCCAGGAGGGCTTAAAGGCAGACGTGGATTGGTTTGAACAAAGGCTTGAAGGAGGTCTAAGAGACTTAAACTTCTTCGACACGAAAGGAGACGCCCACACGAATTAAAAGAAGAAATCACACAAAGGCTGCATAAAAGTACAGCGGGATCCGCTTAAAAGCTGGGTTAACTGGATCGAGTTCCCAATCTGGGTTAGAATTTGGGTTTCAAACATGGGTTTGGAACCTGGGTTTAACCTGGATTTGAACCTGGATAAAAACCTGCGTTAAGTCTGGGTTCATTAAACCCGGGTTCAAAACCTGGTTAGAACCTGGGTTTCAAAACCTGGGTTGAACCCAGGTACAAACCCAGGTTTAAGGTTCAAACCCAGGTTTAAACCCAGTTAAACCCGGTTTCTTACCTGGGTTCCCTGGGTTGTTGTTGTTCTTTCTCTCGCCGCGGGAAGGGCCTTCTTCTTGTCTCGCTCCTTGTCGGTCGGCGCGGCTCTACCTTACACGGACACCTCTTTCAGTTTGGATTAGACAAACATTTTTTCACATCTTCAACATACGTCATGGGGTCCATTTCCTGGCTCTTGCCACTGGTTGTGGATTCCACCGTGGACTTGTGGACTTGTGTGCACGATCGCGACGCAACAGGACCCCGGGGCTGACCGTTGTTCGACGGAACTAGAACGGCGGCCGGAGCTCCGACTTTGAGCTCCACCGGTGGTCTTGGACAGCTCTAGGCAACGGCTTTTTGCTGTTGTGGATCGGTCGCTGAGGCCCCGTAGCTCGTGCTGAACGGCCAACACCGGCAAAGCCTGTGCGCCGCAGCTAGCTCTTTGCTTCTTTTTATCGAACCGCCCTGTTTCACCGCTGTTTTGGTTTGTTTGTTGGTTTGTCTTGTTTGTAGGGACCGAGTGCTACAGCCGTAGTCGACGAGGCCCGCCCACGCCAAAAAAAAAACATTTTTTCACATCTTTCTCAAATATTTCCAAACAACAGCAAGTTACTTCAAAATGCGACAAATGCGACAATTGAGATGGAAGCCTTCCAGTTTCCAGCACTCACATGGCTGCCAGAATGAAACAGGATTTGGGACGTTGGAAGCACTCCAACTCGCCACCACAAGTTTTCCCAATGTCTGCCAGCGACTGGATTCAATTTGATGGCAGCAACAGTTCTTCAACATTCGGAGTGTTGTTGTGTGTTGTTGTTGTTGGCTCGGACCACCTGTAAACGCGCGTTTCGCATGTGTCAATTCCACCGGTATTGGCAGTGTTTTGCGTGGGTCACATGCCGAAAATGCCACTGTCATCGGTGGTTCCGGCGTGTCCACTTTCCACGTTTCTAGTGGCGCTTGAAGCATCGGTATTTGCGGTGTTTTGTGTGGTTCAACTGCAGAAAACACCACTGCCACTGCCACCAGTGGTTCTTGCGTGTTCACAGCAGCGCATCCATGTCCAAGACCTAATATCGTCCATGGTCCACTGCAATTCCGAAAACACCACTGCCATCGGTGGTTCCGGCGTGTCCACAACAGTGCATCCATGTCCAAGACCTAATGACGTCCATGGTCTACTGCGATTTCGAAACAGTGCATCCATGTCCAAGACCTAATGACGTCCATGGTCTACTGCGATTTCGAAACAGCGCATCCATGTCCAAGACCTAATGACGTCCATGGTCTACTGCGATTTCGAAATAGTGCATCCATGTCCAAGACCTAATGACGTCCATGGTCTACCGCGCCAACCATGATCACGTCCAGGATCAGACCATATCCATTGCCGCAGAGCATCCACGGGCCCACCATGATCACGTCCAGATCAGACCATATCCATTGCCGCAGATCCATGGGCCGACCATGATCACGTCCAGATCAAACCATATCCATTGCCGCAGAGCATCCAGGCCAACCATGATCACGTCCAGATCAGTGCCGCAGAGCATCCATGGGTCAACCATGATCACGTCCAGATCAGACAATATCCATTGCCGCAGAGCATCCATGGGCCAACCATGATCACGTCCAGATCAGACCATATCCATTGCCGCAGAGCATCCATGGGCCAACCATGATCACGTCCAGATCAGACCATATCCATTGCCGCAGAGCATCCATGGGCCAACCATGATCACGTCCAGATCAGACCATATCCATTGCCGCAGAGCATCCATGGGCCGACCATGGTCACGTCCAGATCAGACCATATCCATTGCCGCGGAGCATCCATGGGCCAACCATGATCACGTCCGGTTTTCCCACACAGGCCACGTTTTTCTTGCTTCCTATGCAAAAAACAAAAAAAACGCGTAAAGTTCCAAAAAGCTGTGCGGAAGACGTCTCGCGCGAAATGTGCGTTTTTGACGCCGGCAAGGGGGGGCGCACTTGCATGCAGCAATTGCACGTGCAATGAACACAAACAGACGTCTATGTCAGCATGTGCTGTTTGTCCCACGCAGGCCACGTTTTTTTGCCTACCTGCAAAAAAGACAGCAAATCAACACACGTCTGCCTTCCAGCTGCGCGCGCGTTTACAGGGCGTCCGCACGTTGTTGTTGTTGTTGTTGTTGCCGCCGCCATTGTTGGTTTTGAAGCTTGATGCCGGGGTTATAAATTTGGCTCGCAGAAAAATTCTGCCCGGCATTGTGTTTGAGCATGGAGGGCTCAGTTTGACGCATGTTCAAGCATTGGCCTCTCCGAGCCAACTAAGATGTCCCCGACATTGTGACATGAATTAGTTCGACGTGGCAGTGCTGAGGGATCATGGCAGCAGTTCAGGACCGTGTTCACACTTGGCGCCGGCCTTGCGTTCCAGCAGGGGCCACAGTGCTTGCAGACCACCAGAGCCTTACGTGCCGCCGCGTGGAAGATTCGTTCACTTTAGAAAGGTCACTCAACTTCTCCGGCCAGCTTTTTACGATTGCATTCGATGTTTTTGGAAGCCTGGACAGACAGCTTTTTAGGCTTTGATCTTTTGGTTGTTGCACTGAGGAATAGTCATGCAAGCCGGCCAGAGCTCCGAGGCGAGATCGCTGCTGAAGAGAAACTCACATACATAAGTGGGGTTTAAGCGGGCGAAGCTTGCATCATCCTTCGGTTGGAACCAGGCTTTGGAGCTGCAAGCTCTGCAATCTACAGCGCCATCGACGCAGTCGATCTTTGACAAGAAAACTCCTCCGCAGTGACGGGCTTGCAAGTACAGATGAGCATCCAAAGTGTGCCAACTGCCGCAAAGGGGAGTTTTGCAAAGACTCTGCTTTGATTCAGGTCTGCGACAACGGAAGGCTGATACACCGGAAAGGGCATGTGTAGCTATGCCGACGCTGCAGCACGTGTATTGGATACTGCACTCCTTTTCCGCATTATCATGGCGGCGAGCCCACCCCACAAATTTGGCCTTGGGTGATTTGCGACTGCAGAGCAACTTTGCAGAGTGTCGGCTGGTAGGCCTGGAGGTTTACGGGGACTTGAGCGATGTTCCTTCGCAGCGACTGAAGGAGGCCCGGCTGGGCTGACGGATGGTAAGTTTGGAAACGTTTTGCAGCCGGCCTCCACGTTCTTGAGCCCTTGACAGATGTTCTATGTCAATGTTCATGTCGACACATCTGGGGTTGGATTGGATGGCTGTTGGGGGCAAACCGGAAGCTATCTACAAGCGCAACCATGGTGATGAGTGTCATGCTTTCAAGCTGTGCAGATCTGCTCTGGGTCCCGCTTGATGCGCCGCGGTTCATTGAGCCGGCCAACATACGCACACCCTCCGAAGCTGACTTGAGCTTGCCTACTGCTCTTTGACTTTTGTTTCTTGATCTAAGGCTTCCAGCTCGGTCTGGAAATTTACAGGACCAAGAGGGCTTGCAGAATTCCACTTCGAACCGTGGAGCTCGGTTGGGGTCCAATCGAAGGTGTGCAGGCTTGCCTGGGGCCCAACAAACCCTTACGGTCCTGGTCACAGTCGCCTGGAAGCAAAGGCTTTCAGCGTGTTGGACTTGCAGTCGGCCTAAGCTAATTCGAAATGTCACAAGTCGAGGTGCCCGAAAATTATTCTGCAATTGCTAGGACCACGAGTTAGGATAGTAAGACCCCCCAAAAGACAAGTGCAGATCCCCTCCGCGTGGTGCCAAATATCTTCCTATGTTGCACTCTCAGACATGCACCCAATGAAGCTCGACGGAGCATTTGTTCGATAAAGCAACAAGTTGAAGGCCTGGTGTTACTTCGTCTCTAGCAGTTCAAACAGCAAGTCTGAGTGCAATCCGCACATGTGGGAAGCAGGTAAAGGGCGTCATCAAGAGCATCCGAGACTTGTGGCGCTCTGGACGTCATGACCCAAGATAGGGTCGAAGATCAGACTCCTCGGTTGATCTACGATTCCACGCGCTGAGGTGTGGGCGGCGTAAGCCACTTGAGAGAATGGTGCCTTGTCTGGCAGTAGACTTTGTATCTTCAGCCTTCAACACAGTACACTATTGCCAGGATCGACACGCTGCAGCGCCTTTCGGGGCTTTCGCGCCAGGCGTTGCTCACGCTGCCTTCATGTGGGTCTCTGTGCTTCAGGCAAGCCAAGCCATCATCCGACACGGGCCGTCCTCCCTACTTGCACTCGTCTTTTCAAACGTTTGGGACTCTATCACCAGGGTTTGCCTGCAGCTTTCCGGCTCGAAGAATCTTTAGATCGTTGGCTGCCCGCTCCTGCGACGACCTCATTCATATGGAGATCTGCAATTTGGCCAGCGAGCAAACAAAGTCAGATGTACAGCTCTTGCATGCCTCACAGCTTGTTTGTCTTGAGCAAGGACAGTTGCGATGACGGCTTCCGACACCACTTTGCCTTTGAAACCCGGCATCCTGCATGAACTTGCTGCTGGAATCGATTTTTCCGAACACAGCCGTGCGGCCTGAGGCTTGGTGAAGGCAAGCAACTCTTTCGAGGACGTTCTGTCCACTGATGTTGGCTCGTCCGACCATGAGGCGCTGTTGGGGGCTGCTGCATAGCCGGGCCGCTCCACTCACTTGCAGGCCCCAGTATCTAAGCCAGACAAGAAAGAGAGACCTCGTTCCGGCTCAGAGCTCAGGCGGCAAGCGAAGCATGCAGGACAGCGATTTCTGCCAGCCGTGCAGCCGTGCAGCCTGACCAAGGTTCGAAAAGCACTGCAAATGCCCAGATCGTCCGGCCCTCGTGCAGCCGAAAGTGGAAGATCAATTCCAATGCGCTTCTTGAGGCACCGGCACAGCCTCCTAAGTCTTCTAAAAAAGCGGCTCGAAAGCAGAGGACTTTACCGAAGGACATTCTCCCACGGCTGGCAACTCGCAGTTTAAGCCGTAAGCCAGTGCCTTTGGCTGCGCATCGTGGAAGAACTTCTGCACCCCCTGCAGGAAATAAGCGTTTTGCGCACTGCCCTTCGTGCGAAAGGCAATGAGGCGAATGGATGCACTCCTGTTGAGGTAGCTGCGGGCATGTTGGGGGGACTCTGCGCCGCAGGTGATGCACGAGGTTGCGGCCCAGCAGTCCAACAACAAGGCGGGGCAATTTTATCCTGCGAGCCTTGCGAGCTGTGCACGGGGCTGGGGGGCTGACGGCCGGTGGCCATGCAGGCGAAGGGAAAGAAGGCTCAAGCCAACAGGTCGAAACCCGCAGTCCAAGCCCAGCGAGCTTTGCTTTGGTGCTTTGGTGCTTTGGTGAGGTCCAACGGACGGGCGCCGCCAGGCTTAGAGCACAGCCAGGCCGAGGCCCAAGCCGGCGCCCGCAACTGCGACGGGAGGACAGCCTTCGCTCGCCGAGGCGGGCCCGCCGCCGGGCGCGGGGCCGTCCCCTTCTCAGTGGCTCCAAGCGGGCCAGGCCCTCCAGGCTACGAAGGCCGCTCTCTCGGTAGTAGAGCAGTGCAAAGCATGCAAAGCATGCAAAGCTCAAACGAGATGCCGTTGTTCAGACCGTGCCGATGCTCAACACTACAGATGCCGGCTTCTCGTGCGGCGAAGTGGGTGAAATTACAACGGACTTCAGCTTTTTGCCAGGTCATGGCAGTCGGAGAGCAGATCCTTGCTCTGGGAACAACTTTGCAAAGAATGCAGGCTGTTATCGAAGGCAGTTGGATTGGGTCGGTGTAGCAGTGTAGTACCACGTTCCATACGACCGTGCCTTGTGAATGGTGGCACGCTTCTCGTGCAGAGCCAAAAGCAGCACGCAATATCCACCAAAGCCTGCACAGGTCAAAACATGGCGCTTGGGCATGTCGCGCCTCCAATTCCACTGCCAACGCGGGAGCCGTCCTCAAGCAGTCACCGGTGCTTCGCATGACCATGTCCACTTCATCCGCTACGCTCGCACGTTGAATATCTCGGTTCGCGACAAGTGTCGGCAGGCAGTGTGAGTAGACCCTCGTCTGGTGCAGGAGCCGTTTGTGAAGACCGAGAAGCATGACGTTAGTGAGTCCAGGCCCCACGGGTTCTTGCATTGAGAGACGTATTGTGGTCTGATCGTTGCAAGCCTTCAGCAGCATCCGATCCCTTTTGATCTTGCTAGTTCAATGGAAGCATGCCACTGCCGTTGACACTATACTAGTACATGTTCGCAAATGCTAATGAAGGGGCCCACTCTGATCCTCCCAGGAGAGATTGCGAAGATGACGTGCGCGAGGACTTGCGAGCGGTGGCATGGCTACGTCTCTGATGCTGAGGCTCTTCTGTTGCCCTTCTGTTCTTGACTGTTCTTTGCGGTCAAGTACTGGCTATCCACCAGATGTGTTGGGCAGTGCAAGGGTGTACATTCTCGCAAATGTCCAGATCGTGGGCCCAACACGATAAGTCCGTCGGACAGCAAGAAGCAGGTGCCAGGCGAAACCATGGTCCTGTAGGACCTCAAGCAAGACACGTTTCAGGAAATCATACTGGATGTCCTGAGTCTGATTCCTAGAGTTAGGCATCAGAGTCCACCTTGCGACCTTGTCCAGAAATGGCTCACCATACCACCCATGCAAAAGAGTCTACTCCTTACCTTATCCTTTATTGCCCGTAACCTTACCACGCCAACCTCCCATCACTTCATCACAACCCAATCCAATTCGACGACGCATCATTGCATATTCTATGCTTTGTACTATACGTATCCCGTAAACCGGGGCGAGTCCGCTGTTAGAGTTGTTAATGAAGCTTGGCAGTTAGTATCATAGAGTATGTACAAAACAGTTAAGTAGACAGGGAGTATGAGTTTCCATAGTCTTTTCATGTCTTTTCCGTATCATCTGCTCTTTCCGGATGCACCTTGCCTTCCGTTTTCAATGCTCTAACTCCAACCATGGCCACAGTCGTCTCAAGGTCTTTGCACACCTTCTGCAACCAGCTTGCATGACGATGTTTTGACTTGTGTGCTCAGACATCAGCGTAAGGGATTTGTTCAACTGTTCGGCTCTATATATGAATCCAGAGATAAAGTATCATGATATCATACATAGTAAGATATTATGATATGTATTGTGCAGGAAAATGTATACAGCGTATTATAGATAATCATGTACAAGTTATAGCGCATTACATACTACACATTACGTAATGAAGCATGATTGGGTCTTGGCTTTGGGCATTTGTAATCTTGGGCGATGGGTGCTAATTACTCCAGAAGGTCGACTCGCACATGCCCAGATTTCAACAAGTCACTGTACGGTCAGACGACATGAAACACTTACACCGTCACGCCCACGTTGGATGACAGGGCAGAGAGCATGCAAAGCCGACCATGCGAAATTCATCGTTCTTGGTTAACCGACCGGCCTGCTTGAGATCGCCATCCAAAATTGACGTTACCGTCTGTCCAGCCGAATCGAGCCGGCGATGAGTCGTCATAAGTTCTGCCCAGTTGTTGCCAGATGAAGGCAGTCAGGATCGGACCCCGTCTCGTCGCTTCCGGACATCAAGCGCGCACGGGCAAGCTTGAATCAGATCCAGGAGCTCGAGCCAGGACATTACGCAGGGACGAATCAGACCAGACACGGGCAAAGCAGATCAGACAGAACCCAGGAGAAAGGCTTCAGGATGTAAGGTCTGGGGTTCATGGTCTCAAGTTTAGGAGGGTTTGGAGCTCAGCAGGTTCGAGTCGAGCTCGCAGGTTTCGGGAAGGTAGAGCTCAAGGGAGTCGGGATTCAGGGCTCAGAGGTTTAGGATTTGGGTTCTTTCTGGGCATGCTCATTTTATGTTGGTGGTGGTGGTGGTGAGCGGACGCTGGCCCTTAGGATTTAGGACTCTAGGACGGTTCAAGAATTCAGGCCTCAAGGTTTTGACTTCAGGCTTTCGGGGTCGAAGGCTGAGGTTGTAGGGTGTAGAGTTGAAGGGGTTGGGATTCGGGGGGTTCAGGATTCAAGGTTTAAGGTTTAGACAGGCTAGGGTCCACGAGAGCAGGGTGTAGAGTTCAAGGGGTGGGGATTCGGGGGTTCAGGATTCAAGGTTTAAGGTTCAGGCAGGTTAGGGTCTACGAGAGGATTCAGGAAGTAGAGTTCAAGGGGTTGGGATTCGGGGGTTCAGGATTCAAGGTTTAAGGTTTAGGCAGGTTAGGGTTTACGAGAGCAGGGTGTAGAGTTCAAGGGGTTGGGATTCGGGGGTTCAGGATTCAAGGTTTAAGGTTTAGGCAGGTTAGGGTCCACGAGAGCAGGGTGTAGAGTTCAAGGGGTTGGGATTCGGGGGTTCAGGATTCAAGGTTTAAGGTTTAGGTGTAGAGTTCAAGGGGTGGGGATTCGGGGGTTCAGGATTCAAGGTTTAAGGTTTAGGCAGGTTAGGGTTTACGAGAGGGGAGTTCAAGGGGTTGGGATTGGGGGATTCAGGATTCAAGGTTTAAGGTTTAGGCAGTTTGGGGTTTACGAGAGGATTCAGGGCGTAGAGTTCAAGGGGTTGGGATTCGGGGCTGAGCGTTTTAAGGTTTTGGGCTCAAGGTTTAAAGTTTGGAAATCGGAAAGGTTTAGGTTGAGGAGTGCTTGTGATTGGAGTCCAGAAGGCTCAAGTCGACGTCTGATTTAGTAGAGAGTTCAGGGGGTTAGGATTCGGGGCTTAGGGTTTTCAGGGTTTAGGGTTCAGGCCTTCAGCTCCAGGTGGGGTCGGAGCACAAGGCCTAGCACTTCTGTTGTACGCACTTAAATCTGGGTGTCCCCTCAGCCGGCCGACGGACCACCAGTCTCGCACCCCTGCGATCCGTTTCACGATGCGGTCCGCGATCCGATTTAGCGATCGCGCATGTGCGGTCCACAGCCATGAGATTCGCTGTGTGCCCGGTGGGAAGTGAGTGAGACCCGACTCTTGTCCCGAGCGGTGCACAGCAAAAATAAGCCAATTAAGCATATTTCAGAGAAGGCCAGCGCCCCCGATCGGATGTGCTTGCGGGGACCAAGCATACATGGGTGGCTCAATCTGTGTATCGTCACACTGAAATTGAGTCTCCGACAGATCACAGGCTGCCACAGCATGGAAGTGGCCGGACCACAAATTGACGATTGTTTCTTTGCACATTATGCGAACACAAGCAGGGCTGCCTGCCCAACGGTCCCAAACTGACCGAGCCGTGAAAGAACTACGTTCCGACTTGCATCCGACCGCACTTGCTTCCCTACGCTTCGATACAGAACCTGCCGAAAGCAGAACCGAGTTGTGGGAGTTCCCTTCTCCGAGACTTGTCACGGTCTCTGATTGTGATTTGGCAGGTGATTTCATGGCAATCGATTACGGCCAACGTCAAGACCTTGGCATCGGCTGAATGCAGGGAGGGCAAGGAATCCTCCAAAGCTGTGACCGGCCAGGCCGTGGGGCGACATCCAGCGGGCACTCCAAGCGCAAAGGCTCCTGGCACATGAACTCTGGTTCTCAACACATGCAGGGCTTGCATGCTGCACTACTCTTGCGAGCATTCATTCAACTGCAGGTCTCCGAGTACAGCGGAATCTGGTGTCAGCTGCGAAGGTTGTGTTGCGCCCTTCGTTTCAATGCAGAGTCACCTCTGGGATGGATTATCTAAAGGCGAGCCAGTTGATATACTATTGTAACTATTGTACTACTGCACCATAAACGGCCAAGTACTCCACGTCCGCGTACCTTTGGGTCGGGGCTCGCTGCGAGATGATCACCCCAACCATCCTCCTGCTGCTGCCGGCATTTAGCATGTTGCTTGCATGATCCAGCATTTGGCCAGCTGGCACTCGATAGTTCGATAGACTGAACACTACAACTCGGACCGCCAGGCAACACGCCGCATGGCATCAGGCTTTTTGCAGTGCGACATAAATTGCTGCCGAACTTCTGTGGCACTTCCTGTCGCACGTCTAGGAAACTGGAGCGTTGTAGTGCTTCAGATCAACGTAAACGTGCAGCCTCATGTCGTTTGAGGCACAGCTGTGAGACACTGCTTCCTATGTTGACCTTGCTGATGAGCTTGTCATGGGCTGAATATGGGCCTGTTGGAATTACTTCTTAGATGCGAGGGCCATTTGGAAGCAGTGCTTCTCTGAATTTTCACCTTTTGGGACTTCGGGCACAATTGTGCCCATGCTGCCAGTTCGGATTGACAACTCAACAGCACTCTCGGGATGAGTTCCAGAACCGGATGGCTGCAGCGGCCATCTTTGATTTCACGCTGCAGTTCGGCTGCACTGGGTGCAAAGGTCCAGCCGGCCAGAGGAGCTGAGCAGACCTATCCGCTGCGGGCCGCCTTTTCCAGCGGAGTCCGCAGTCCGCAACATGCTGCATTCGCTGCATTAGCATTCGCTGCAGTGCGAACTAGCTGCCACACATGGACGAGATCGGACGTGTGGTGAGCATGATCCGATGATGCGATGCCGTCCTATTACAGAGTCCATGTGTAGCAGCCGTGGGCACTTCTGTGCAGGCTTGGAGCTCGTGCGGCAAGTGCTCAGAAACCGTTTTGCAAGTCTTGGAAGCTTTCACCCTACTTCAGAGCCGCAATATCAGTCCAGCTGTCATCAGATTGCACCTGGCACGTCTCTTGAGTTCCATAAGTAGCCATAGCCCTCACCCACTTATGCCACCCATTCCGACAGCTAGAGAAGATCCTCGTTCGAGATACTGGTCCCATACGTGCAAGATCAGATTAGAGGAGTTAGCAGCAGTAGATCTGCATTTCCAAGTTCGATTCTCCGGTCAACGTTCGCCAGCCTCGACCCTGCTTGCCAAGGCTCCTCTCATGAGAAGGGGTGCGGCTTCCAAGAATTTTTCTGATGCACAAACCGTTTTTCGACGCAAGGTAATGGGTGTGCCATGAGGACAGACATGCCCATCGCAAGACAGCAGCATGCACCGTCCTTGAACTGGAAAATTTTCTTCTATGGAGAGATCGCCTCGAATATTTGGTTCAACGACAAGGTGTCATGCAGAGTACAGACTCCATGGTTCGATGTGAGCTGGATAGTGTTACTCAAGGGTTCGGCTGCAGTGACTCCAGTGATTGAGTGTAGTCCGAAAACGAATGTCGGATCCCGTAACGTCTATGTCTTAGTCCGACGCTGTGCGTTGCTCCGTTGCTCATCGAACCCTGGCATGTCAAGGCCTGGGCCTTGCTGACAGAAGCAGGGCCTTCGACCCGCGAGGGATGTTCGGGGCTGCGATTGTTTTCAGGGGTGCCAATGAGATGCCAAGTACTTGGCTAAGACATCACAGAAGCGACATCGAGCCCACGAACGAACATGCCCGAGTGGAGAGGGTATGCTGCGTGAAGCAGTGGCGTACCGCTTGAAGCTAATGAAGGCTGCCTGGTCGAAGCGCGGGTGTCAGGAGACCGAGAGGCAAAGTAAGTCGGGGTGTCCCTGGTGCGAGAGATGCGATGCAAGAGGTTCAAGCAAGGATTTTTGAGGCTTTCGAGGCACAGAGACACCCCGACTCAAGAAAAACTAGTGCTTCTTCGATCTTCACCCGAAACTACCACGGTAGACCTTCCCCGGCCTGAGAGGCTTGGCTGATCTTTGAGAGCTGCAGGGAGACGATTGACAAAACTATTTAGTTTAACGCATGTTCATGTCCATACTGCATACATGGACCAGGACAGAACAGTTTCTATTCTCGGGCTCTAGAGTGTGTCTAAAATGCAGAAATTCTGGACTTTCCATTCCAGTGCAGCGATTCTCGCAGATGCACAGACATCGTGACAGCAGAAGCAGTATTTCAAAGTCGGTGCAAAAACTTAGAGTCTTCTGGATGCAAATGAACTTCGTTGTTTAACCTTGGCATTCGCACCTTCTGGAAGCATCGACTTACTTCGGCCGGGGTGCTATGGAGGTGTGCGCTTGTGTCGGCCATCTGCTGACCAGAGTCTGCGACCTTTTGACCCGCCTCTGCATTTCTGGCTGAGACGCGCCGTCGTCTTTTCAAAGCTGTTCAAGTGCTGTCATGCCCAGTAGGCGCAGTCCCTCGGTCATTTTGGCAATCGCCAGCCTGAAAATGACCCGAGAGCTCGCGGCTGGCGTAAACGTTCCCAGGTAGCCTATGGCATGTTGCCACGGCGTTTCGGAAGCTGGCGAGTCTGACATCGTTCCAGCATCGTTTGGGAAGATTTGAGGGTCACCATCTCTAGTCACCTGCTCCCGTCAGGATTCAGTGTGCCGGGTGTCATGCATGTTGCGTGCAAAGCATGCCCAGTGCACACGCAAAGTGTGCACTAGCTCTGGTACGACCTCACCGACATGCACGAACATGCCTGGGAGATGTGTCGACACGGAGCCTTTTGCATCAGAGCTCTCCATTTGCCCACGGTGTCTCCGCAAGTCTGTGGAGCAGAGGTTGCAGAGAGGCTAACCCGCCGGGGTTGAATGGATAACAACATCTTGGTGGCAAGATTGCAAACTGCATCGTGATATCAACGCAGAGCCCTTTGCTTGTGTCAAATTCACCATAAAGCTGATGCTTCCTTGAGAGGTGTTTCAACTGTTAGGACAAAATCATGAACAGTCCGAGCGCAAAGACTCTCTCCAAGAACGTGCATGGATTCCCGCAAGACGAAAATGCAGAAGGAGCTGCATTGCTGATTCGATTCTGTTTGGGCTCCATTTCGGAAAGCACCCAACTTCCGGAATCTTCAAGTTCTCGAACTCACAGTGACATCAGCTTCAATCCCGCAAGCAGCCTCGCATGAAGTCCAATCCCTGTCAGGTCTGCCTGCAGCTCTGCGTTGCCATGTCTCGTTGCCTCGCAGCTGAGCGGAAGGCCGAACACGCCGGAACAGCGGTTTCTGAGGAGGCCGGAGGACACAGCCTAGTTTGGAAATCTATGAGCAGGACGAGAAGCCTTCGCGTGCCCGGTGGCCTAATCTACTAAGGGCCTGCCCCGGACTTCGCTTGCAGTGCTTCTCGAGGAGCTCGCAGCTCAAGCAGCTTGACGTCCAGGATAGAGTAGCAAAGTAATTACCACAGATTCGGTTGAAGCATGCCTTTTCTCATCGTCCTCGTGTTGCCACCACGCGCCCCATCCTTGGCCAACTTGCTCTTGACACCTGCTGCCCGCGATTCACTGACGCTGCTTGCCCATGGCGAACGCTCAAGAGACCCCGCTGCTCAAGGAGCGGCTTATTCGCCATCATTAGGACGCTTCAGCGTCTTCGTTTTTCTGTTCAGCTTGAGGTTTGAGGGTCGGTTCCCTCCGGTGCAGGCTCCAGCTTCAAGTGGGTTCTCCTCTTGATTCGATGGTGTTGCCCTATGGTTATTTTGGGTGGGATCTGGAACACTCTCAAACTCGCGGATCCGGGGTAGGTGCTAACTCCGCTAGTGTCCACCGAGGCGGCAGTGGGGCAGACTCCTATGGACCGTGGCGGGCGACCTTGGCATGGACACGGTGACCCGTCCGAGCGGCATCGAGAGCCGAGGCTCAGAGGCCACTGAGCCTGGCTCCCATAGCTGACAGGTGGCGACAGCGACGGCCGCACACTTCTTCCAGCGCTTCTGCTTGTCCGAGCGGCAGGGTGCATCATCCGGATGATTTCTTCCCGGCAACTGCCGCACGACCTCAGCTGTGAGCGTCCCATGTGATTTGAGTTCTGGGGCTTCGATTTCAGACTTACCTGCAAACGGACATGCACAAATCATGGAGGTGACTTTGATCCACATCGCTTGGCAATCGCCTGCATCTGGTTGGCATCGAAGGCACATGCAGGGTTTGCAAGACATATGGCTTTCTTCTCTCTGTTGAGCTTTTCTGAGATCTGTGCACCCTGTCTTCAAAGACCTAGGAGGTGTCACTTGCGTGAGGCCCTTGATACTGTGTCGGCCCAGGTGCGGGAGTCTCCGTGCCGTTTGCGGGACATCGTGAATTCTTTCGAGGTCCGGCAACAAGATAAGACATCATAGTGACATAGTGCAACAAGATAAGACATCATAGTCTGTGGCACACGTGCAAGAACAATGCAAGCCCCTACCTTTGTGCAGTCCGTGTCTTCATGCCTTTGGCAGGGGTTCCGGAAAACCGGTTGTGGTGGGCAAATTTGGGGGTGCTTGCAAACTTGGGCGTTTATTCAATGTGCGTAGTTGGGCCATGACTGGGCTCGGTGCTTCGCAATTGCTCTCCTCTGAAGCGTTGGTGTAAGGGTTGTGCAGAAGGGGGTTTAAGACCAGTGAAGGTCCCTCATGTGGGAGGATGTGCCAAACTCTCGTTTCCTCACTTAGCAAGGATCTTTCTGAATCATGTCCTCTGTTTGCTCGTTGAAGACACTGGCCAGATCTTCTTGGACAGGGTGCAGGATGAGAAAGGCATGCCCATGGAGGCCTCGCCTGGAATACAGCCGATAGAAACTGCTCCGTTCAAAAATTGGGAGACATACTGGGCGCTGCGTGAT